ATTAAAGCCCAGCTAACATCCGTTAAAGCCCAATAAAACCGTTAAAGCACTATACGATCCATTAAAGCACAACTAACATTCGTTAAAGCCCAATAGAACCGTTAAAGCCCAGCTAGCATCCGTTAAAGCCCAATAGAATCGTTAAAACCCAATACGATCCATTAAATCCCAACTACGATCCAATAAATCCCAATAGAACCGTTAAAACCCACTACGATCCAATAAATCCCAATAGAACCGTTAAAGCTTGATATGATCCATTAAAGCCCAACTAACATCCGTTAAAACCTAATAGAACTGTTAAAGCCCAATACGTTCAATTAAGAAAAGAAAAGTTTGAAAAATGGGAAAAAAAGAAATATGCCGGAAAATGTTAAAAATAATTTTTAATTTCAAATAAATTTCCGGCGGATAATAATTTTAAAAGATTAATTAATTTTTCGGCGGAAATCCGCCGGTAAATGTTAAAAATGATTTTTAATTTCGAATAAATTACCGGCGGATAATAATTATAATAGATTAATTAATTTTCCATCGGAAATCCGCCTGTAAGTGTTAAAAATGATTTTTAATTTCGAATAAATTTACGGCAGATAATAATTTTAAAAGATTAATTAATTTTCCACCGGAAATCCGCCGGTATGTTATTTTGATTAAATTAAAACACAAGTCTAATATAATTAATTAAGAAATCCGTCGGAAATCCGCCGAAAATATTATCAGATTAATATTTTTGGCGGATTTCCGTCGAAAGACAATAGAAGTTGACTTTTTTGATGTTCGACGGAAATTCGCCAGTGCTGAAAATACTCATTATTCTAGTAGTGTAATAACATTTACGACGGATATTCGTGTTTAAAAACTTAATAAAAAATTTAAATTATATAAAACACGTAGTACAAAATTAAGTTTACTCATTAGGTGATCCCATCCATTCCTTGATTACAAGCCATCGTGCTCCCATGTAATCAATCAATCATCCACCATTCTCTTCCAACTTATTCATTCAGCCAAATACTTTATACATAATTATTACTATAAAATGGGCATCCACAATCCCCATAAACAAACCCACTTGATTCAATTAACAATCAAATTGAAGAGCATGGAGTCCACTGCCACCATATTCTTAGCTATCGTTTTGCTACTGTCGGCGGTGATGGTGGTTTCCACCTCCGCCGGTGGTGGTTATGGAGTTGCTCCGGCCACAAAGCCTGCTGCTGAGATCCCTTATTATAAGATGACCAAACAGAACGAAATCTCCAAACCCATTGCAATTCAAGGCCTTATATATTGTAAATCCGGATCTAAACTTACCCCACTTAAAGGTATATCAATCAAGTGTTTTTATTTATATACCGTGTTTATTGTAATAGGCGAAGGATCTTGGGAGAACGAGAGTTAAGGTGGCAAGCGTAAGAAAGGATCTCTGCAGTTGATTACTTTTAATCTCAAACTCACCCATTAATCTCATTTGATACGGGTATTGTTTCTGTGCATCTCGGTGCATCTCATCCTAATGTGCATCTAAGGATGGAGATACTTTCTTACACTTCTCACTTTAACTCTCATTCTTACCGGAGCACAACCCTATTATAATATTGCATGATAGAATTTAAGGTATTGTATTACATATACTTGTTTCGTAGTAATAGAGTAAATTACGTTTTTCATCCCCATGGTTTGTTAAAAATTGCGGATTTTGTTTTTGTAGTTTTCAAATTTCAATTTTCGTCTTTATCGTTTGCAATTCATTTCTATTTTCATCTTTGATACCAAAACACCACTTTAAAGTATCAAGGACCAAAACAGAAATGAACTATAAACCTTAGGGACGAAAAAAGCAATAAATTTTAAATCACAAGAACGAAAAAGGTAATGAATTATAAACCATAGGAATGAAAATCGTAATTTCAAAACCATAAAAACGAAAATAGAAATTTTCAGCAAACCATAGAGACTATAAAAGCAATTTGTGGAGAATTTTTTTTATTTGTATTTTTTTGTTTCATAATGTGAACCACAAAAAAGTTTCACATCAATTTTTTAAAGATTTGAACACATACATAAAACAATATCTTAAATCATAGCTTTTTTACAAAGAAAAAAAAATCATATAAAAGATAACTTAAGCTTGATTCTCACTTGTTTGTCACATTTTTGTACTTTTCATTTCATTGCCCCTATACAAAATTTGATAGTCTTTGTCTAGCTTATATGGGGTTCGTTCGGCATTAACTTATTAGCATTTGGATTATTGTGTGTATCAGGAGCCATAGCAAGAATAACTTGTTTGGCAAGAAACCGCAAGGGGTTGGAACTAGCGCCATTCTCAATCGTGAGTTGCCCGGCTGATAATAAGGGCTACTTTCTAGCAAAATTGTCCCCTCCATCCATGAAGTTCTTGAAGAATGTCGATTGGGAGCTCGAAGAGTGCAAGGCCTTCCTCAAGAGTTCGCCATTGAAAGACTGCAAGATTCCTCTAGATATTAATGGAGGCATTACGGGTGCCCATATTATTTCTTCTTCGTCTCATCGACTCCTTAAGAACGCAAATCTTTATTCGCTGAAACCCTTTTTCTACATGAGCGGTCAACCTCAAAAGGTCTCCGACAACAGGGGATATTAACAACTCCTTCGAAAGATCGGTGATTCTATTACAATTATCTAGCGCTTGTTTTTTCCCTTCTTAATTGAGCGTACTTAATTTGTTGTTCTTATTCTTCTCGTTTGCTTATTTTTTGTGATAAAGAAGAGGATTACAATAAGTACATGTGGGTTGTTTGTGTTATAATTTCAATTACAAATTTTTTATCTTTCCTGTTAACATATGAAAGAAAGATGATATTGTGAATTTGTGATGCAATGTTTAGGTTTACAAACTTTTTGAAAACATTAAATCTTAATGGATTGGAAATAGAGTTAGCCTTTATTGGCGCAGGTCCGTTCCTGACATTTTTTAGGCCTTGGGCGAGATGTAAAAATGGGCCCTCGATAAGTACGATATTTTTTCAATATACTGTTTTTATAATCAGAAATAACATTGAATTCATATAAAACCATTTTTCCAAGTATTCCTGGACGCAAAATCAATCAATACTCATTTCTAAATTAATATTATCTACTAGAACATTTTTATGTAGTATTGGTAATTTGTTTCATCATCAATAACGTCTTATGATATACTTTTGGTACATAGAATGACATCATTTGAGGTCACAAAATTGATTCTTCTGAATTTCAAGTGACGCTATATAAATCAATGTACATAGGTTGGTTTTCCATGTCATCTCATGTTAATGTTTTTTAACATCATTTTAAACTTTTATATTATGTTTTTGAATTTGGGAAGATCAACACCATTTTAACCTCTTTATATATATTTTTCTCCGATATATTTAATTCATACATGTTTGGGTCTTTAATAGTTAGTGTAGTACCAAAATCTTTTCTTGTCATATTAGATACTAATTTTTTTAGGGAAAGATGTAAAAAAACTCAATGAACTTTAATGTTTGGAATTATTAAGTTCTTGGACAATTTTTTGGAACAAATAAGTCCTTGTACATTCAAAAACATGTTAAATAACTCCTTAGACAATTTTTTGGAACAAATAAGTTCTTGGACAATTTAAAACATGTTAAATAACTCATTGGACATTTTTTTTGTAACAAATAAGTCATTGGACAATCCAAAATATGTTAAATAACTTCTTGGACTTTTCTAAAAACCTGTTGGATACATTCTTATGACTTGTACAACTAGTTAATGTGGTAAAATAATGAAAAAAGTCCGAAAAAAACCCAATGAACATTCATATTTTGAACGATTAAGTCCCTAAATATTTTTTGAAGCAAAAAATATTTAAATCTATAAAACTAAACAAATATAACAAAAAAATAATTACATGTCATAAGAATGTATCCAACATGTTTTGAATTGTTCAAGGACTTATTTGTTCCAAAAAAATTGTCCAATGAGTTATTTAACATGTTTTGGAATGTCCAATGACTTAATTATTCAAAACACTAAAGTCTATTGGGTTTTTTTACATTTTTTTTTTGTTTTCTTACTATTTTTTTTGAACTACTATTATATATATTTAAAAATTTTGGGGCCCATAATTTTTATGGGCCCTGGGCGTACGTCCAGTCCGCCCTGCCCCAGAGACGGCCCTGAATCAAAATAAATTGTTGATAAACATGTCTACTCGAGAAGATTCTCTATTCTTGTTATCTTTACCTGGTAAGCATTTAGTAAACAGTCGAGACCATATTACCTAAGGACTTCGAAAACTTTGCTCCCGGTCGATCAATATTCATGCCAATCTCAGTAATATTCCCCCAAACCCCTCTAAATTTACCCATACTGGTCGAAGAACACAACTCCCAAACACACTCTAACCCATAAGGAATCACATTCCTCCCAATTTTCCGGTTTTAGAGTTGCCGCATTTAGACCCTCCACCCCCAAAGCCAATTAAGAATTATTTAAAACATTACACCATTTAATCCATGACAATTTCAACAAGAGTTACCCCCAAAGAAAAGCGAGCCCAAAAGAAATTGAATGAGATTTCCACGAGGCAAACTTTTCTTTGAATTTATCACCCGTATCGTATCATATTTTTCCTAACCTGAAGAACCAAATAGGTGAAAGGCAAACACCCCGAAATACAACCAAGACTTTGAGCCATCATTTCAACCTCGCCTCCTGATACACCCAAGCCGTAAAGTTTGTATTTGGACATATTGATTTTCATCCCCGAAGCTTTCTCGAAACATTTTAAAACTCCCATCAGAATTCCCATATTTTTTTACATTTCATTCCCTGAAGAACAGCGAGTCATCAGCAAACTGAAGATGAGAAATCCTTACTTTTTCATACCCGAATGCAATACCCTTACAAACCAGATTATCTAAAGTTTCTTGAATTGAAACGTTTAACCCCTCCGCAACAACAAGAAAAAGAAAAGGCGACAAAGGATCTCCTTGTCAAAGTTCTCAACAGATTTGAAACTCGGAAGTTGGTGCCTCATTCACCAACACTGAAATTGATGTGGATTCCAGACAAGTATTACATCCAAGCTCGCCATTTCTCCCTAAATCCCATTTGATGCATTACATCCAATAAGCATCCCCAATTGATACGGTCAAAGGCCTTTTCGAAATCAACCATGAAGATCGTTGCTTTCTTATTTATTGTTTTAACATAGCCGATCAAAGCTTTTGCCTATAAACCCCATCTGAAATTTAACGACCTTTGATAAATGCAATTTGAGTGTCTCCAATCAATTTTTCAATTACTTTCTTAAGCCTTTCCGTCAACGTTTTTACAAAAATCTTGTACAAACATCCAATCAGACCGATCGATCTAAAATCCCCTAATCCATAGTAATTCATATGATTCATATTATCTCAAATTAATAATTTAAAAATCATCATATCTAATATTTGGACAAAATATTGTCCAATTGATTATACTTTGAAAATTGGGACCATGAAACATGTATAGATGTACAAACCTCCCATCTTTTTATAAGGCTTTTTGAAGCAATAATTAACTCAAGGATATCCCTATTATTTTTACAGGGCATCAAAGTTGACATTAGGGACTCAACACATTCGTTCGACTCCGTTCGTCTAGCCTCTATAAAGGATGTGTTAGAGTCCCATATTGAATAGGTACAGACCATCAAAGTTTCATTATGTAGAAATCTCCTACTCTTTAAAAGAATTGTTTTAGAGAGAGAACTAAAGGGTTTTCACATATCATAATAGGTACAACATACAATGAGTACGAGACGTATGAAACATTAAGCTTACATATGTTGAGAAATTGGCCTCAACGTTTACAACCCAAACAATGAAAAAGGATCTTAGAGTGTCTAGGATTGGGCCACGAAGGTAACAATAATAGAGATAAAAATTTATGCAGAAACTCCAAAACCGGAGAAAACAACATACCTCCAAAAAGAAAACTCACATGTGAATTTTATTCTCACTCTCAAAGATTTAACTCACATATTTCTACTCTTTGAAAGAAAAAATAAAATATTTTTAAAGTATATGTTGGTCCCGTAAGGGTCTACAAGAAGAGAAACAGTTTGTAGAAGGAGGGGGATGAATACAAACACAGTATTTTCAAATTTCAAATATATATTGATAAAGAAGATCAATACAGATTTTACAAGATTGTTTGCGGAAAGATAAGGTAATAAAAACCTATCTAAACAATCTTTGGTTACACACAAAGCTTTAGCAATTACAAGAAAAGAAGTTGCTAAAAGAAAGATCCTTTACTTAAGCTAGAAGATGCTTGAAGTAAGAATTAGGTTAGAGAAAGATGCGCGCTCTCTGCATGGAGAAGAAACACTTCTATTTATACCCAGTTTATTAAATGTGCATTTAATGCAATATGGTAGGTTTAGAGTGCGTGTCAAACCTTAAGAGGAAGGC